TTATCTTTATAGTAGAGGTCACACGCAAGAGTTGACCTGCGGGGATTATTTTCACTCAGAATAATGTTCTCCAGCTCCATCCACGTTGTGAGACGTTTTGCGGTTTCATCGTTGTTTTGTAGAGATACACACTACTCCATTGTGTGTAGGTACAATGTTTCTTTATCCAGTTTTCTACTCTTGAGCATTTGGGCTGTTTGCATCCTTTTGTTTCCTTGAACATGGACAGGCATGTGTCTGTCTGAGTTATGGCTCTTTCTTCCTTAGGTTATAAACCCAGCGAGGCATTGCTGGGTCATGCCGGATTTCCATTCCCAGTTGTCTGAGGCCGCGCAGTCTCTCTCCACAATGGTTGGACATAGTTACAGACCCACCAGCAGTGTAGGAGGGTTCCCTTCTCTTCACACCCTCTCCAGCATTTGTTATTTTCTATTTCTTTCATTTTTTGTTTTTTCCAATTGGGCTGTCATTGTCAGTGTAAAGTGAGAGCTCATCACTGTTTTGATGTGCATCTTCTGGAAGGCAAATGCATGTGAGCATCTTTTCACATGTTAGCCATTTGAGGCAGTTACATAATCTGTCAACTTGCGAAGGGATGGAGTCTAGCCTGTCAATCAGGTCATGCTAATGAGACCTCTGTGTGTCGGCATGGCCTTCTCCTGAGGAGTCTGGGAAGTCCTGTCTTCCTCCCTGGAGGTGGGAGACACTCCTTGCAAGACATTCCCCTCTTGCCACATGGCACTACACTGATGGAGCCAGAGCCCTGGAGCTGGAGAAGCCACGTGGAGACCTACACCAAGGCTGAGACACTTCCACTGCCACTGGATCCACAAGACTTTCTACCCACTCACCTGTGATCTTCCTGCACTTGGCGTCGCATGAGTCTGAAGGGGAATTTACAGACCAGTATCGGACATACGGGCTAATATAGGACTTATGGACTTGATCTGGGACTGGGCTGGGATGTTTTCTTAATGTACAATTGTTCTTTGATATAAAGTTCTCTCTTACACATATAAGTGTCTCTGGATTTGTTCCTCTAGTCAACCCAGCCTAACACACCATTTGTATGACATTTTTGGTGAGCTGTCTATTCATGCCCTCTGCCCACTTCATTGTATTATGGTTGTTGTTTTCTTATTGAGGTATCAGTTTTCTATAGGTTTTAGAGATTAATCCTTTGTCCACTGTGTCGTTGCTAAAGATTTTTTTCCCAGTCTGTGGGTTCGCTTTGAACTCTTTGGATGAAGTCTTTTGATACTCAAAAATGTCTTGCGTTTATTAGGTCTCAGTCATCTGTTTTGTCTTATGTGTGCCTCCTTAACATGTGATAGTATGTCTGTGCCCTGCAATAAGCCCCACTTTATTTTCTTTGGGTGATTCCCTTATTTACAATCCCTCCCCCCAAAAAAAAACATTCCTTCAATATTTCAACGTGAGGCTTGAATTTTTCCCCTTCCATTATCTCAGCTTGAGAAATGCTGAACATGTTCTTCCCCTCTTGGGTTTCTAACTCTGCATCTTTAGAGTAATTTGTCTTCTCGAGCTGCCCTATGAAATCAGTGCAGTTCTCTCAAAATTGAACAGTTTTCTTGGCCTCTAGTTCACAGGTCATCCAATTCAGTAGTTCAGTCATCGTAAGGAGAGTTGTACGGGCATCGCGACCAGTGGGTCAGTTCTCTTCCTTCTCGCGTCGTCCTTTTGTTTGAGCGATGGTACATTCAGGAGCACGTTTCGATGCCCACTTCGGTCTTTTCTTTCCTGCCCGTTACTGGGCTTCTGCCATCTTCGTGTATGGTGCCGTTCCTACGATCCCACACAACTCTTCTGGTCTGGGCCAGCGAGGCAGATCTGTTCCTGGGGTGGTCTTTACATTCCGGTAGAATATACCCAGGGTGCCACTTGGGCATTCATGTACTTGTTTTTAGTTTTCTTCAGCTTCTACTTCAGCTCGCAGGTGAACAGTGGTCTCCTCCTCAGTCGCCTCAGCCGTGTTTGGACTGGTGATGGTGAGCTTCTCCCTCATCACTTTCCACAGGTGTGGTGGTTTTATTCATCCCTGTCACTTCCACCCAGTGAGATCCAAGTGTAAACTCACTGTTCACATTGTCAAAAGAAAGCCCTTAGCCCAGATCTCTGTAATCTGAATAGGCAATATGTATTGTTTATCTCCCCTCTTTTGATCAGGCGAGATGCTCAGTAGAGTTTACTCCATACAGTTTTCAGGCTGTGACTTTGGGGAAACAGGTCACCACACCTTGTCATCCGCGGCACATCGGGAGGGTTCTAACCAGCCTTTTTGCCGGTAGTCCAGTGCTTAGCAATCGGTGACTCCAGTTATCTCTCTCCTACTCCGTAAAGTCCTGGCGAGCAGAGTCTTCCCAGCCCCCGACCGTGCCTCTGCTGGTTCTCAGATGGCAGTAAAGAAATTCTGGCAAAGCTGAGCTGAATCAAGTTCCCCACACCACAATAAGTGGTGGAAATGCAATCAACCCAGATGTCTTCCCATCTGTGGGTTATAGGCGGACTTCCTCCTTAGATGGAAGTCAGTAGCCCTGGGATTTTTGTACACACGCCCAACACTTTCCATAAAACACTAAGTGACTTTTAATCTCTCTAACCAAGGCTGGGGGCCAAGAATCCCAGTGCTTTTGCACCTTCACTTGGCTGTGGGCAGCACGAATTACCAGGCTGACCCCTCCCAACAGAGCACATGATCAGCCACAGCTGTGCGTGTTTTTTAGCATGACTGCATCGGGACAGGGCTCCAAGCCACTGGGTGGAGCAATGAGCCCTAGGGAGAGAGCTTATGACATTCCCTCTATGATTTCAGAAAGGAAAGGGGAAAAAAGAAAATGCCCGCCCCCAAGTGAGTTGTTTGTGCTACTGTCAATCGGAACGGCCGTAGGTTGTATGTATAATACACGCATGAATCCATAGGCTAGAGATCACTGTGCTTGTAGGAGAGAATTGGGAGTGATCCTAAGAGTGCAAGGAAGGCAGACACTACTTGTTAGTGCACTCTTGTCTTGATGACAGAATCCCAGTTTTATTTGGGATGACGGTATACGCAACTAAAAGATCATTTCCCATCCTTCCTTGAAGGACTGGATCCCAGCCAATGGAATGTGAAGAGAAAGAAGTGGTGTGTGGACCGTCCAGCTGACTCCAGTTGAAGGGCAATCCATCAGCTGGCCTGCCCTCTCCCTTCCTTTCCTGAGCATGAACTTGATGGCTGGAACTCTGGTAGCCATCCTGGAACTTGCGGCAAACTTTAGGGTGGAAACCTGGAGTTAGGATGGTGAAGCAGGATAAGAAGCTGGACAGTAACACCAAGGGGCTACCATACCAGCTTAAGACACTTCCAGCTACTTTTGTGAAAGAAAATGTAAACCACAAGAACAATGCTTTTTGCCTTAAGTCACTTTTCAGTTTTTGATTTTTGTTGTTCTGTGCAGCTATTAATCATCCAACAAAGGCATGAATAGAGCTGTTGTAGGCAACAGCTTAAAAAAGTTGTTTTGAGAATGATGATGGCAACAAATGTACAAATGTGCTTGACACAGTGGATGTATGTGTGGATTGTGATAAGAGTTGTATGAGCCACCAATAAAATGATTTAAAAAAGTTGCTTTGAGAGTAGAAAAATTGGTAATAACTGAAATTCCCAGCGATAGGGAAATACTGAAATGACACTATTTGTGTATTAATCCCAAGGAATATTATGCAGCAATGGGAAGAGTTCATCACTGGAGGACCCCAAACACTTAACAATTCACGTTGCTGCCGTAAAGCACATATTCAAATTGCTTGGAGCTTCTTTGATGTGTGTAAACAGACAATGCGCGGAATACCTAGTACATTGTGTACGGCAAACTAGCAGCTATGGTTGCTAGGGAACAGACTGGGGAGGTGTGGGGGACTAACCTTTATATAATGTTTGGATATTTACAACCACAGTGAATGATTCATGTCTTATGTAAGGACATTTTTTGTTAAGAAATGAGTAGATCAGCCACTTAAAACTAATGGAATTTTAAATCATCTTTGGCCAGAGTCGTTTTAAGAAAGGGGGGAAAAAAAGTGATTCAGCCTTGAAAAGGATTAGTCATAGAGCCTGAAGTATTCGGTTAAAATCGGGAGGAAAAAAAGAGCTAATTTTTAAAAGGAAACCTTTTTTTTTTAAGCCTTTGCAAGTTCAGGAGATGAACAGGCATGCTGTGGGCCCAATCTATTTATGACCTTGTGAAAACGTTATTCTACCCGCCCTGAACTTTTTAACTGACACTTCTGAGAGGAAATTGCGGAAGACATCAGAAGAAACATCAGACATCAGCAAATAGACTTTCTTAGAGGGGGGGGAGCACCTCCCAGAACAGCGGTTCTCAACTTGTGGGTCCCGACCCCTTTAGGGGTGGAGCGACACTTTCAAAGGGGTCACCTGATTCATAACAGTAGCAAAATGACAGTTATGAAGTAGCAACGAAGATAATTTTACGGTTGGGGGGGTCACCACAACATGAACTGTACGAAAGGGTCGTGGCATTAGGAAGGTTGAGAACCACTGTCCTGGAACTTCCAGCCTCCCTTCATTTCACAGGCGAAAAAACTGAGGCTGCGCAGGGCGCTGCGGGACGATTGCTGGAGCCGCGGGAACCTTTCGGCTTGGCTGAAGCATCGGGGAGAAAATGAACCAGAGTCCGGAGGGCTCTACTGGTCAGAAAGCCGCACCTCCACCGAGCCGTGAAACCCGCTGGCCTGGGCACGCTGGGGGCGGAGTCAAGAGGCGGGGGCGGGGCTTCCGGAAGTGGGGGCCGGAGGCAAAGAGACGGGGCGGGGCCTGGTAGGTCAGCCTGGGCCTGGAGGCGGGGCCTCACAGCCGCAGAGGCGGGGCTAGAGGCGCCCGAGGCGGGCTCGCGCCCGTGCGGGCCCCGGAAGCCGGCGGCCGGCGGGGGCGGGGCCAGGCGGTCTCCGCGGCGTCGTTGCGCTGCGCGGCAAAGATGGCGGCCTCCAGCTGGGCGCGCGCGGCCGTGGCCTTGCTTTGTGCCTCTGACCTGTTGCTGCTGCTGCTGCTGCTACCGCCTCGGGTTTGCGCCAGTGGGGACCCGACCGGAGCACCCGGCGAGGCTACCCGGCCCCCGCGAAAGAAGAAGGATATTCGCGATTACAATGATGCGGACATGGCCAGGCTCCTGGAACAGTGGGAGGTTCGCGGCTCGCGCACGCCCTCCCGGTTCTTTGCTCGGGTGCCCTCTCTAACTGACCCTTTACCCGCCCCTTGCTTTGGAACCTTTTTGATCTCCGTCTCAGTATCTTCTAACATCCCTGCTACCGATGCCTTACTGCCCGACTCAGGCCAGCCTTGACCCTCCGGATCTCTCCCTCAAGCCCTGGAGACCCCCTGCCCCGGGCTCTTCTAACGGTCACCGCTTCGCTGGTCACTCCCGCCCCGAGACAGCCTCTCACTCTCCGGCCCGTTTTCCTTTCAGTACCCTGGTCATTTTAGCGCAGCCCCTGTGCCCAGTGAACCCTGCGACAGGGGAGGGAGACCCGAAGAGCAAGGGCCCGGATGGCTTCCCAGTCCCCCTTGCTTGGTGTCGGGGTGAGTGGGTGGGTGGGTGAGTGGCGGGGGGGTCCTCCCAGCTGTGAGTTCTCCCGTCTTCTATCAGTAGAATTTCAGACTTCTTACTTTGGTATAATTCCTTTGGTCAGAGTTTTGTAATTTTGTGGGTAAATTTTTTTTTTTTTTAGGAGTGGATTCGAGGCATGGCTCTCTGTTTTGGAACCTGTATTTTTTCGTTTAGAAGAGCAATGATTTGCTTCTTTTTTTTTTTTAACCTGAACCCACTGGACATAGCTTAAGAGCGTGTTGTAAGCTTTCAAGATAAAGCTTATTGGCCAACACCAGGCTACTGACTTTCTGCCTTCCAAAGATGGTTGTCCACAATTGTTCTAGTTAGTTTGCCTGGCTGGTGGAGTGGAAGTACCAGGTAATATGTTTGGATTCTACTGGGGGACTCAAAACAACCCCTGGTAAAATGGAATGAGAGTTGAAGCCCCTTCATGCTTCCTGTGTAACCAACCAGGTCATGCCTGTAAAATGAAGAGGTTTTAGTGGATGGTCCCAGAGGTCCTGTCCTGTTCAGCCCTGAAGTTTTGTCATTTTATGACGACCGCTTTCTACTTTGTTGTGTAGCAGAGGAAATTGTCTTTTTGGCAGTGCACAGTGTAGTTCTAGTTCCTTGGGCGGCACCAACCGCTCAATTACGAACCTAAAGGGTGGTGGTGGTGCCATGGAAGCAGAGCCTGGCGATCTGCCTCTGTGAAAGACCACCAGGCCAACCTCATCGTCGTCAAGTGGATTCTGACTCAATAGCTACCCGTTGTAGGGTTTTTGAGCATGTCAGTCTTGACCAGGGCAGATTGTCTAAGCTTTCTCCCACAGAATGGCTGGTGGATGTAAACTGCTACCTTATAGGTAGCGGCCAAATGCCTGGGGGGGAGGGGGGAGGGGCAGAACTATGAAGCAGTTCTTATTCTATAATACACCAGGTTGCCATGAATCAGAACCAACTCATTGGCAGTGGGTAGTATAGCAGTAAGCTCAAGGGTTTGCTTGTTATGCGCCTTGAGGCAGGAATTTTAAAGGTGACACAATGAATTTGATTGACAGAAAGGAGAACTATTTTCACCAGCTGACAGACTGAGCTATGTGGATGACAGGTGGAGCGGGAATTTAGCTCAGCAGTCTCTTCCCCAGGCACCATCTCCCTTGCAATCTCCTGATCACTTGGATTCTAGTAAATGAAGCCATGTGGCTGTTAATGTGAAAGCATACCTGATGAGGAAATCCTCCTTTAGAAATGCTCAGTGCTTGGGCTAGATAAAGAATGAGGGTGCAATAGAGATGAACTAGGGGCCCAACCATTGGGAGCAGTAGCTAACAATAGAAGGAAAACCACAAGATGGAGTAAAAATTGCTGGGTGTTATTAAAAGAAAGGAGATGCTGGCTGTTGTGGGAATCCCTCGGAAGGCCTTTCGTGGAAGGAAGGCATTCCTAGTGGGCAGGGGGTGCCAAGGATGGGACGTCTGGGAACTGGGCAGAGGGGCCCAACCATTGACAGCCCAGCCTCTACAGTCCATCTGTTTGGCTTTAATCACTTAAACGCAGGGTGTTGGCCTGGGGAACCTGCGATGTGGGGCCTCTCTGTGCCTCAGTTGCCTCAGCTTCAGAGTGGAGGTCTTAGTGGTACCCACCTCTGTTGGTTTTTAAAATGATTAACAGACTACGTGGACGGAGTGTAGAATAGCGCATCTCAGTAGTGGTCATACTAACGTTTTAGGTTGGCTGGACCAGATCCTCGCTGAAGCAAAGTCGTGGTAGGCTAGGTTGACAGGACCCAGGTCCTGCAACACCTGGAGTGCAGTGAGGCGCCGTCCCTGGTGCGTAAGAAAAGGCTGTGTTGTCACCGATGAGCTGCTGTATTTCAGCCCATGGGACTGCACGTGGCAAAGTGGAATGGCCCCATAGGCTGTTCTAGACTGTCAGCAGCAGTTCAAAACCACCAGCCGCCCCGAGGTAGAAACATGACTCTTTCTACTCCTGTGAAGAGTACAGTCGCATAGGGGTAGTTCTACCCTGTCCTATAGCATGGCCATGAGGCAGAACTGACTAGTTGGAGGGTTTTTAAAAAGTCTTTGAGAGGCAAACTGCCAGGTCTTTCTCCCACAGAACACCTGATGGGTTCAAACCACCGACCGTTTGCTTGTGCCATCGGGCTCTGCATTAGCCCATATTACAATACTGAGAATGTTCTATTTAATCAGCCCCATAACCTCATCCCCAAATGTGCATTACCTCTTTCCAAGTGCACTTCATTTGCAGACCTGTTTTTTATAACTGCAATCATAGCATAGAAGGGATAACCTTTAAAAGTCTTCAGTTTTGGGTAGATGAACAGGGAGAGAACTTGCAGGCAGAGGCGACACCATTTCAAACCCAATATTGCCATCAAGTCAGTTCCAGCTGACAGCGACCCCACAGCACAGAGCAGAACTGCCGCTGTGGGTTTCCGATAGAAAGCCCCGTCTTTCTCCCCATGGTTTCGAACTGCTGACCTTGCAGTTTTCCGCCCACCATGCCATCCACTATACCACCAAGGCTCCTCTGTTTTTGTTTGTAAACTTAGAAACAAAAAGGCCCCCCTGCACCCCTGTGTAGGGTCACTGTAAGTCAGAATGCAGGAGAAGGATGAGCTTTCTATCGCTATAAACAGTGCCAGTCTCAGACACTCAGGGGCAGCTCTGCCCTGTACCAAAGGGTCCCTCTGAGTTGGCATCACGGGTTTGGTTTGGTTTTCTGGTTGGAATTGCCTCGCTCACGGCAGCGGTTTGGTCTGGGTCTTGGTTTAACCTCGGAAGCGGTGAGATCCTGGACAGGCAGTGGTCTTGTTTCTGTATTTGTACCCTCGCTGCAGGTGGCAGGCTCATTGTGGACATTGACTTCAAACCAGTGCCAGCACCTTCTCATAGTAGTTGTATTTTTGTTTTGTTTTCCTTTTCCTGTGGGAGAGGATGGAGCCCTGGTGCCGTAGTGGTTACTCATTGGGCTGTGATCCGCATGGTCAGCAGTTTGAAACCACCTTGGGAAAAAGACTGAGCTTTCTACTCCTGGAAACAGACAGCGACAGTGGGAAACCCACAGGGGATCACTGTGAGTCAGCAGTGGGTTGGGTTTGGTGTTTGGTGGGAAAGGACAGCTATCTCTGGGTGTTTTCATTTGGAGGGAGGCGGGAAGGCTGGAAGGACAAAGCCCTTCTTCCCCCAGAGGTGAACCCCAAATCTGTCAACCCTGCCGGCATGCTAAGCAGAGGCTGTGCCTCTGATGGTGCCTGGGGAGAGAAGACAGAACTCTTGCCCCAGTGTTAGAACTAATGTCCCAGTGGTGGTTGATTCCTCTGAGAGTACATTAACCAGATGGGATTGGGGGGCTTGGGGGGGGGGGCGGTCTTGGAGTCTGGGTCAGCTCTTTTAGCTTGTGACCTTGAACAAGTTTTTATCTTCTCTAATCCTTATCCCCATGTAAAGTGGGGACCTTTCAGAGTTGTGCAGGTTGAAGGTAATGTAAGTGAGTGCCTGGGGGCAGAGTAGGTACTCTTTGATGTCTCAAAAGACCATGCTCACTGCCCTGGAGTCCGTGCTGACTCTTGGAGCCCCCTGTAGGTTTCCCAGACGAGACTAGAAAGCCCAATCTTTGTCCTGCACTGCTGTTGCTTTTCACCAGCCGACCACGCAGATTGCCACGACCCCACGGGGCGCCTGCTGTAGGGAGGAGGAGAAGGAGTGTTACTGGTAGGGACCAAGAGGAGGAGAAAGGATTTTGTAGCGAAGCGCAACTGTGTACTATTGAAGTTTTCTGGCTGGCTGGCGTTTTGGTGAAGATCCAGGGCTGGCCTAGAACTGAGTCAGGGGAGCGTGCCTAGTCCCTGCCCCCCACCCCCCAACGTAAGAATTTGGTGTTTTTGAGCGCAACAGAAAGTGATAAGAAACAGATAAAATCACCCAACCCACCTGGGCCAGGGCATTCTCAGTTCATTGCCATCAAGTTGAATTCGGCCTTAGTGACCCCGTGCATGCTGGGTGGAACTGGCCCCAGGGTTCGTGACCTTTCAGAGGAGATCGCCAGGCCTGTCCTTCAAGGTGCTTCTTGGTGAGTCCAACCAGCCTCTGGCTAGCAGTCAAGAGCTTGGCCCTTTGTACTACCTAGGGACCCCGACTGAGAGCTGCACCGGGCAGTTACCCATCGGAGTGCTCCGCCTCCATTTTCCCCTGCAACTAAAACAAAAACATGAAATAGAAATGAAGGCTGCTTGGCACACTCTCTACCCTTACTTTACAAATGGACTTCCCTGAGGAATGCAGGCATGTGTCGTTTAACAGCTACAATAGTCCTGTGAACTAGGAGCCTGTGGGACTGGGCCCTTGTGACAACCCCGTGTTCTCTATCTCTGTATGATGCAAAGTGTCCAAGCAAATCGCTTCACGTGTGTGGTCCCGCCCCTCGCGTGGAGCTGTGGGCCTGAGCCCAGCGGCTGCTGCACCCTTCGGCTGTGCCTATCTCGATGCTACCCTTCGCCGTGGACACAGCTCTCCCAGCCAGGAAGGTGGGGCAGGGAGATTTGTTCCTGACCTCGTGGCGTTGGTGCCCCATCCTCCTTCCTCTGAACTGAAAAGGGTTCCACTCGAGGCTTCGGGGAAGATGGTGGCCCCAGGGGACAGTCAGGAATCCCCTCTTGGCCTGTCCGTCAGCACTGAGGACATCGCTGCCGTCAAGTTGATTCTAGTCCATAGCAGCCCTATGAGCTGGAATTATGGAACTGTGCCTGTGGGTTTCTGAGCCCACCTCTAGGAGGGTAGGAAGCCTCATCTTCCTTTCCTGGAGCGGCTAGGAGTGGTTTTGAATCGCTGACCTTGCAGGTGCCGTTCTACCTTATCCTATGGGATGGCTGGCAATGAGTAAGGTTCCAAGTCATAGCAACCCTATATTGAGTTTCTGAGGTTATGAATCTTTATGGGAGCAAACACCCTCAATTCCCGCAGAGCAGCTGGTAGGTTTGAACCACCAGCCTTGCACTGAGCAGCCCAGCGCTCCCCCTGCAGCCTCAGGGTTCCTTATAATGCAGGAGTGGGCAGTAGAATAGCCCTGTGTAACCAGTTGCATGAACAGTGTTACCCAGGGACTCCTGCTGCTGGCACCATGGGGAGCCTTTGAACTGCTAACTGCAAGGTCAGGAGTCAAACCAGCTGCTTCCTGGGAGCAAGATGAGGCTGCTCCCATCAAGATCTAGTCTTGGAAACCGGAAGGAGCAGTTCTGCACTGTCCTATGGGGTCACTATGAGCTGAGACTGACTCAGTGGCAGTGTTGGGCTTTGTTTTGTGGCTGTCATTAAATCTCCCACGCAGCCCTAAGAAGGAGATGCTGTTGCTACTCCCCGAGCTCCCGAGAGGAAAGTCTTCAGATGGCTAAGTAACTTGCCCAAGACCACACAGCTCAGGCGGAGGGGCAAGAACTGAACCCAGACCTGGCCTCCTGTTGACGATCGCCGGCAACCGCTCCTGCAGAGCAGAACAGGGAGAAAGCTGTGGGCAAAGCGGGTGGCGAGTCGAGCAGGCTGTGTGTGGGAGGAGGCCCCCCGCTGGGCCCAGGGTGCTAGCTTAGCTCTGCTTTGGGCGTTAGAGATGAAGAAAAGCCTCACAGAGCCAGGGGTGTTTTCCAAGGTTACACAGCTAGGTTTTCTTGACGCTGAAACAAGACCCCAGATGTGATAGTAATCTGGGTCACCTTCAAGCACTTCCTTAGAATTGCTTTTCTTAGCATCCTTTATTAACAGCTGAAAACACAGTCGGCTAGCGCCAGTGTCTCTGCCAGTATCCTCAGCCTCAGCCCCTCAGTGACTGGCAAGACCAAGTGTGAGCCATGGGGGCTGTTGTTTCCTTTGTTGTTTGTTTTTGGAACCAGCTTTGAGACATAATTTACATCCCCTACATGTGAAGTGTGAGTTTCATTGTTTCTTTTAGTATATTCAAGAGTTTGCAGCCTACCCTGCAGTCAACTCTAGAACATGTTCACCACCCCCGAAAGAAATCCTCTTAACCTTTAGCACCAGTCACCCTTCCTGGCTTCCCTCGGCCCCTCAGCCCCAGATTGGGCTGCGGATAAACCCGCCTCTTAGACCCGTCTGCTTGGGACATGCTGTTCCATGCTGCACCACATGCACTCTTTATCACACAATGTGCACTCCTTTGTGACTGGCTGCTTTCACCGGCGTGAAGTTGATAAAATCCATGTTGCAGCACGTATCAGTATTTTATTGTTTTTCTTTGCCAAGCGATACTCCCTTTCTGGAGAGACTGCATTTGATCTGTCCACTAAGGAGCCCTGGTGGCATAGAGTGGGGGGTGGGAGGCGCCCAGGTGGGGCTGCTTGGTGGGCTCCGACTGCAGGAGAAGGATGGCTGGATGTGTTCCCCAGCCAGGCAGTTGGACTGCTCTGCAGGTGGCCCTGAGTCAGAATGGCCTATGGAGCCTCGAGGCAGGCATGAGGCTGGACCGGCACCGAGCAGGCCCAGCAGCACCCCGTGCAGAGAAGGCCCAGCCGTGATCTTCAGACAGCTGGCAGCCCGGGAGGCCCGGGGACGGCTCTGCTCCGGCCCGCAGGTTGGCTGTGAGAGCTGATGGGTGCTGCTGAGTCAAGTATGTCTGTTGGACCCCTGGGGTGCACAGAGTCCTGCACAGCTCCTCACCTCAAAGTTGGTTTGAAAGCACCCAGCGAAGGAAGACGGGGCAGTCTACTTCTGGGGGATTACAGCCCAGAAACCCTGTTGTTGTCAGGTGCCTTCCCGCTCATAGCGACCCTGTGCAACCAAACGAGGCCCCTCCGGGCGGGGCCGGGGCCGTCCTCGCACTGGTCCTGATGCTGGAGGCCAGGGTTGTAGCCAGCGTGTCAGTCCATGCTGTCCAGGGCCTCCCTCGTCCTCACTGCCCTCTACAGGATGTCCTCCAGGGACTGCTCTCTCCTGACAACGGGCGCAAAGTTGGTGTGAGATGCAGTCTCGCCATGCCTACTTCCAAGGAGCGCTCTGGCTGTGGGTCCTCCCGGGCAGATTCCTTTGTCCTTATGGCAGTCATGGCCCTTTCAGCAGTCTTTGCCAGCAGCACAATGGAAACACATCAGCTTTTCTTGGGTCTTCCTTATTCAGTGTCCAGCGTTCACGTGCATGTGACACAGCACTATGGCTTGGGGGGCAGGCACGCCTTTGTCCTCAAAGTAGCGTTCTTGCTTTTCAACACTTTAAAGAGGTTTTGTGCAGCAGATTTACCCAATGCTTGTACCAGAGGGGCTAGCAAATAGGAGAAACGTTCCTGAACCTTAGAGTTAGCAGAATGCTGATGGTCCTCATCGGATTGTGGTGGGTTGTATCGGTTAGCTTTTGCTAGGTAACAACCTAGCCCAAATCTTAGTGACTTAAATAAGCCCAAACACAATGTGGTCCTCTGGTATCGGGCGCTTAGCCACCCTACATAGGGTTTCCAAAGCCATACATCTTTACGGGAGCAGAAAGGCTCATCTCCCTCAGATGTGCTGATGGGTCTAAACTGCTGACCCTCCGGTTAGGAGCCCAATGAGTAACCCACTGCTCAGTCAGGGTCCTTGGCAGCTTAACTGGCAGCCATTTATTCCACTCAGGGTTTTGTGGGCCAGTCTCATTTAGGCTTGCAATCACTGTGTGGGCCGAGGTCACCGCCAGCCGGGATGGTGTAAGATGACCTCAGCTGTGGGAGCTTATCTCTGTTCTCCCTGACCCATCCTCCGAGCCTGGTGTGAGGCGGTTCCAGGGCCCTGATCAGAACTGGCCCAGTGGGGTTTCTGTAGCATTTCATTGGCCAAAGCAAGACACAAGGCCTCCCTCTTGATCCAAGAGGCTAAGGAGCTTGCCTCGAGTAACAGCTTGTCATCCTGAGGGGGAGCTGAGTCAAAGCTTGTCATCCTGAGGGGGAGCTGCAAGGAAGTGGTGGGAAGTTCCAGCCATTTTTATCTTGCTCGTTTGTTTCTCTCCCAAGCGCGACCACAGTCTTCTGACAACAAGACCTTGCTGTCATCGAGCCCATTTGGATGCGTAGGGTACAACAGGGTAGAACTGCCCGTGTGGGTTTCTGAGCCTGCCTCCTGTAGACAGGAGTAGAAAGCCTCATCTTCCTCTCTCGGAACACCAGGGGTTTTGAACTGCTGGTCCCTACACCATCAGGACTCTTCCCTTATTTAACCAGGGTGGCGTGGATGAACCAAATGTCTCATAGGCCCACTTGACTGCCAACCTTCCACAAGTGCCTCCGAAGAAAGTCCTGGCAATTGAATTCTGAAGAACCAGCCAGTAAAAGCCTGTGGAGCACAGTTCTAGCCTTGACACGTGGGTCACCACGAGCCAGGGCCAACTCTGTGGCCATATTAGAACCCCAACTTAATCTCTCATGTTGTAACGGAATCCCCACATTAATTGCCCCAGTGGTAACCTGGAGGGCATTCTCCCAGCCCAGGGTTCAGTTCTAGACCAGGTTCTTCATAGATTTGCCAGTCCGCTTTAGTCTCCTTTAACCTGCACCAGTTCCCCAGCCACCCCTGCCTCCTCACCGTCCCGCCTTGTGTGGCGTTTTGCAGCACACCCTGTTGCATTGGCTTCCTTGGGTTATGGTTTGGGGAGGAAGACCACCAAGACGAAGCCCCGCCCTTCCTTCCAAGTGGTTTTTACTGGAAGGTTTGTTTGGCGCTCTACTGAGGGAGTTCGCTTTGAAGGCGGGTTCCTACAGTGCCACGTTACTGTTTTCCCATTTGTAATTCGTGAGTACTGGGCAGTGGTTGCTTTCAGACAGGGTGAATGTCCCGTGCATCAAACTTTGATCCATGGTTTACGTGGGGATTTCCTAGCTCCATCAGTCCTATAGTCTGCTGATGAGTTTTCTAATCGTGGTTTATTCATTCTTTCTTTCTGCTAGGATGGATACAATGCTGCTTACTTTATTGTCTGGGTTACAGTGAGTGTCCTTGGGCTACATGATTGTCGTTGTTTACTCTGATGCTCAGATGTATAACAGCTTGGCCAGGAAGAACCCTTCTTGTTGGCTCCTGTTACATTTTGTCCGGTCCCATGATCCTTTGAGCACTTCCGTTCTGAAGCAAAAAGACAGTCTAGGTTTACCTTCAGTTCTCTCTGCTCCAGCCCTGGGGTTGCTCTTCTCTCTGATATCCTGGTCCTTTGAGATATTCTTACCTAGCTTCTCCAAAAGAAAGAGTTCCTTCCGCTACTGTAAATTCCAGATCCGCAAGGTGGCTTTCTTCCCACTTCCGGTGGGTAACTTCCTTCCTCAGGAACCTGGCTCTCAGTAGCTTCCACACTCTGTGCTTCAGCCTGCAATTCACAGAAAGTAGCTTCTGAATTGCTAGTTCATACCATGGCAAAAGAGCCTGGTGGCATGGTGGGTTATGGGTTGGGCTGCTAACCACAAAGTCGGCAGTTCAAAACCATCAGCCCCTCCTAGGGGGAAAGATGAGGCTTTCTACTTCCCTGAGGAGTTACAGCCATGAAAACCCACAGGGTAGATCTACTCTGTCCTGTAGGATCGCATTCCACTCCATGGTGGTGATTTGAGTTGAAGCCACTGGGGAGGGGAGAAAAGGTAACTAGAATTAAATCTTGGTTTACAGTTCCTATATTTTACATGAAATTGATATACATGAAATCCACTGATCTTCACTGTTCAGTGCAGTGAGTTTTGACAAATGGACACACTCATGGAATCCACAGCCCTGCCCATCCTCCCAGAGCTTGCCTGTTCCATCTTACTGCCCTCAGTCTCAGCCCACCACCCCCCACCGCCGCGCTCCCTGTCCCCTAGGTCCATTCTGCCTGTTCTCGAGCCATCAGCCAGTGGACTCATGCATCTCTGCCCTGAGCTTTGTTGGACGACTCGCTGTGTGTCCTGCGGTGCTGCGTGGCACTTCTTTGTGGGCCGTCGCGGTGTGGTAGTCGTTACGAGCGTGATCACAGTGGGTAGACTCCTGGAGAGTGAACGGCTGTGCACAGACCCCCATCACCAGGAGCCTTCCTGTGCTTGGCCACCGGGCGGGGGTGAGAGAGAGGAAGTACTGCCTGGCACTGGAAGTTGAAAGGCAGAGAGAACGCTCCTGGCATTCCTTTGCCCTGCTTTTTCTACAGTCAGCTGCGACCCCCGCCCGCCAGACTCCGCTTCTGTACCTGCCAGCACCAGTGGAAAGGCAAGTTGGGGACTATGGGTTGATGCTTGCTTTTCTCCCCCACCCTGTAGAAAGACGATGACATCGAAGAAGGGGATCTCCCTGAGCACAAAAGACCCTCGGCACCGATTGACTTCTCCCAGATCGACCCAGGCAAGCCTGAGAGCATTCTGAAAATGACCAAGAAGGGCAAGACGCTGATGATGTTTGTCACCGTCTCCGGGAGCCCCACGGAGAAGGAGACGGAGGAAATCACCAGCCTGTGGCAGGGCGGGCTGTTCAATGCCAACTACGATGTCCAGAGGTAAAGCACCAGCAGCTTTCCTCGGAGCTGGATGTGCTCCGAGGCTAAGCAGGGTATAGTGCTTGCTTACCAAGGGCCCTGCCCTTTCCTTTCTTGAATTTCTTCTACATGCTCTTCTTCTTATTCAGCAGTCCATTGTTCCTTACACTCATCCAATGCAGTCCCTCGAGGTGCCAGGTCACCCCTTTTGATCTTCATTGGTTGGTTGTCTGACCTGAGTGTGAGTTTGTTTTCAGACCTGAAGGGGGAGGAAGGGCCAGAGCCATAGGCTTGGGGTCCCACCAGGCTCTGTCTGAACCAGTAAGGCCAATCTCTTTTATGATTTCGAGTCCCAGTCCACATGTTTTGCCACTTTACCGAGGACCTTTGGACGTGCCCCCTCTCTGAGCAGTTGGCAGTAGTAGCTAGGCACCATCTAGTTCAGGTCTCAGGGTTGTGCAGACGGATGTCCGTGTTGACCAGACTCACTGTGTCCACGGGTCTTGATGTTCTTCACTCTTTCTGCTGCATGAGGAGAGCCCAGTGTGTGAGGCCGGGTTGAAAGAAACAACCCCAGGGACACTCATGTCTGGGTAAGAAAGAGCTTTATATCAAGACATAAGCATCCCCACCCAGTCCAACACAAGTCCGAGTCTGGTCTATAAGGTCCCTCTTCAGACGCACACAGCCACATACAAAGCTGCAGAATGCAGGACCATCACACGCCCAGCTCCACCCCTGCACTGTGATGCCTTGTCGAGTGGACATGAAACAATGCCACGGCCACACCCACAGGTGCCCTTCACATGGCTGCTCACAAGCTTTGAAGACAGCCAGGAGGGTGCTGACCATCGTCTGTGGACTGTGACACCACTGGACCTTGGTGTCCCTGGGTCTATGGTCTCTGATGATAGCTTGGTTATCTCCAAGAAGTTTTCATAATCCTACACCCGCGCTCCACCACGTTCCACCACGTTCCACCACGTTCCACCACATTCATGGCTCTATCTGCAGTAAAGGTGAATGTGTGTACATACGTGCACTCCGACAAGCCTACAGGTATTTGTGGGTATGTGTTTCCACTCTCGCCCACACCTAGTCAGCCTGTGTCATCCGAGTAGCTGTGCCTAGACCACCGCTGTCTCAGGGTGGCCTATACTACACATCTGCCTCTATTGTTTGCAGATCTCCGCAGGGTCTCCGCATGTCTCCCCCTCCTCCCCCGGGAGCCTGCCAGTCTTTACAGGAGCGGGCAGCCTCATCCTTCTCCCGCACAGATGGTGGAGCTCAGCTGCCAGGCCTCCTTAGCCTAGCCTCTCAGAGGGAGAAATGAGCTAGGGTTTGACGGGTTCTTCCTGTCCACGTTTCTGCTCAGGGAGCACGCTCCGCTGTGCGTCTGTGTGCACTCGTGTGGCAGTCACAGGCTTGGCTGCTAACTGAAATACGGCTGTCGGAACCCACCAGCCACTCGGCGGAGCAAAGGCCTGGTGAAGGTTACAGCCTAGGGACCCTCTGAGGCAGTGTCCGTGCATCCAGGAGGGTTGCTGTGAGTCGTAACATTAGGAAACCTTGGCTAAAACCAAACTATCACAGTGAAGTACCAGTGAACGCCGGCTCACAGCAACCTCGACCTAAGGAAACTCGTCCTTTGGTTCTGTGTGTTCACGGCGAGTATTTCGAGTTCCTTCTCTTGCATTCTTGGCACCTCACTGCCCTGTGCTGACCGCGGTCACTCTCTCCGCAGGTTTATCGTGGGCTCCGACCGGGCTATCTTCATGCTTCGAGACGGAGGCTATGCCTGGGAAATCAAAGACTTTCTCGTGAGCCAAGACCGGTGTGCCGACGTGACTCTGGAGGGGCAGGTCTACCCGGGCAAAGGAGGCGGCGGCAAAGAGAAGAACAAAACCAAGCAAGAGAAGAACAAGAAGAAGAAGGAGGGCAGCCTGAAGTCGCAGGCTTCAAAGGAAGCCAACCGAGCTGGGAGTGTGAGGGAAGACCTGTGACGGCCGCCCCGGGGCGCACGGCGGGGAGCCTCAGGGCGGGCGAGGCCAACTGCGTCCTGCTTGAAACTCATCCCTTCTAGAAGGATGAACTCACAACCAGCTTGTCCTGTGGTCACTAGCAGAATAACCATTGAGAAGACAGAAATTTCCTAATGAAAATTGGGCACGGACAAGGTTTGCTACAGAAGTATTTTCAATGGAGACCTGAGTGTGTGGCTGGCTTTCCTCCCGCTCACCTCTGGCGAGCCCATGGTTCCCCCACGGGCAGCAGGGCACTCAGACCACTCCCTCTCCAGTGCACCCGCCCTGTCGGATGGGCTGCCGGCTCAGGGCTCTGCCTCTTTCCTCTGAGGCAAAAGGAGGCCACACTCTAGTCCGACTTCACGGCATCCATCATCGTGCCGAGAACTCCTGCGTGGTACCTGGCGGCTTGTCCGAGGTCAGCTCTGTCTTGTGCTTGCAGTGTAAATGGGAATCGTCCTGTACAGGGTGCGGCAGAGACTGGAGAGCCTGCTTTATTTCTAAGCCGTTTTCTTTGACGCCGGGCCTAAAACGGCGTCCGTCCATATGGTACTAACAGGACGTGCTGCCTGTTTTCGCAGCGCCCAATAGCTGGGGCTGCCTCTGAAGAGAAGAGCTAATGGCGCTGATGTCCAGGGATCATTTGTAAGAACTAACACTGCGAGCAATTTCCATTGGGAGCCTAAACAGTGAAATGTAGTATGTGCATGGAAGTGGATAATTTAAATGGGGTTGAGGGGTGCAGAGTGAGAAATGCCAGCTCCAGCCCTTTGTCCGCTGGAAGAGCCACTGTTAAAAAGAACATTTTTAAAAATACACTTAAACCAGCTTCTAGTGATGTGTGTTTCTTTGGCGGCGGCAGTACCTTTTCTGGTTTGAGGAAGAGCCCTGGGGAGTGGGCTGTGGTTCGGCACCTGGTTGCTCACAGGAAGGGAGGTGAGCTGGTGGCAGGCCTGGCAGGCGCTTCTGGAGAGCCTCGGCAGCGCTCCCAGCCTTGTTGGAGCCGTCTCGGGTACCGGTTGTGATCATTGTTCTTTTTGTAGAACTCGGACCTGCACCCCCTCCGCTCCCAGTTCTGTGCTGGGAGTGTGAGGTCTGCCGTGCAGCCCCCCAACCTCCAGGCAGTCCCGTTCCAGGTCCCAGGTCTGGGTGGCCCGGTCAGATCTGGTCCCAGCCAGTTCGCTTGGACCCGCCCAAGAGGAGGAGCGCTGCGCCTCCTAGCTGACCCCACTGGGGAGATAGGAGCAGTTGCTACAGCCATTTGATCTCAGGAGGAGAGCTGTCTGCAGGGGACCAAGCCGGAGCCAAGGTGTTTCCTTTAAGGCCCCTGGAACAAGCCTGCGTGTCCCCTGGGCTGTTTTGATTCCAGGGTCCGCTGAAGCAACCCTTTTCTTTTTTTCCCTAGCAAAGAAAACGCTACTGTGTTCTCTGTTGTAGGGAGCTCACGCATGCACAGGTGTGGGCACACATGGTTAATAACTGCTAGGGAGCTCACGCATGCACAGGTGTGGGCACACATGGTTAATAACTGCTAGGGAGCTCACGCATGCACAGGTGTGGGCACACATGGTTAATAACTGCTAGGCGTGGGCTCCTGGGCATGGAGTGGCAGGATCAGAGGTTGGGAAGAGAACCAGAAGTCTGCTCTGCTGTGGGCATGCAGCATGCAGTTCTGCCACCCACCATCGTTGCCTCTCGCCGTCATCCTGCGCTGCTCGGAAAGGCTTCCTGGAGGCCGTGCCTTCACACCTCCCAGCGCTTGCTCCGCCTCAGCGCCTGCATGCGGTCCTCTAAGCCTGCTTCTCTACATCCGTCCCAGTGACCTGCAGCTGCCACCAGGCCACTTGAGTCCCGAATCCCCGAGGCACGAGGACTGCTTGTGGTCGCTGACTGTACCAGCAGGCCCGCGGTCTCATTGGAAGCGTCCCTGGGCGATCTGGGGCCTAGAGCTTCTGGGGGCGCCATGGAGGGCCCGCTGTTGTGGGCGTCACCTCGGGGCTGCTGGAGGCCCCCCTATGCTGCAGCTGCTGTGTGTGGCACCCTCAGGCCTGCTGCTCAGCACACTTCAGGCTGGTGTGACTGCTGGCCCATTACCCATGGGCACAGGAACATTACCCGGCCCATTACCCATGGGCACGGGAACAGCGGGGGTGCTGGTAGTCTCCCCGTCACACCTGGGAACTTACTTGTCTGTCTCGGTGGTCCTGCGTCCCCGAGTCTAGTTGCGCTCAAAGTAGGAGGCCCGCTGCTGCTGCTGCTGCAGCACGAGCTCCGGGCAGGTCCAGTCCTCAGTGGCAGGCTGGAGTGGTGGGTGGCAGAACTGCGTGTTGTGCCTCCCAGGCCGCAGGCGAGCACAGGGTGCTGGGGTGAGTTCAGGATTGGCCAGACCTTGAACTCTCCTCAGCCAACCCTGCCCCAGCAGTCCCTCGTCCCAGGCTCTCTGTCAGCTGCTCAAAGTCCACGTTGCCACAGCCGGTCAGGGTCGGATTTCTGAGTCAGGCCAGGCCTGGAGCAGCAGTGACCGCCAGCGACCATGTCCTTTACTTCTGACCTCTCCGGGTGGCTCTGCTCACAGCCACGCCTTGGGGGCTGTTGAGGGTGTCAGGCTGGGTTGTGGAGAGAAACAAACCAGTGACCCTCTCGTAGAAGAGAGAGCTTTATATCCGGTAGGCAGCCCAGCCCAGTCCGAACTCCAGCCCTCAGTCCGGTGCTGGCCGGGCCGGTGCCGCAGGAAGCCCAGAGGCCTGGGGGCAGAGTCGTGGGAACCCAAGGCCAGTGGAAACCTGGCAGGACTCTCAGCTCTCGGGGAGAGATGAGAGGGAGGTTCCCGGGTTCATTTTTCTACAAAGGCCACACCTCAGGAGGCTTCATCCAGCTGCAACCTGACTGACAGATGGGACCTCGCCCCTCCATGAATGCACATTAGCATACAGCCCTCCGCAGGGGGTTGCCCACCGCCAGCATGGTGCCAGCAGGCAGTGTCCATGGCCTCCTTAAGGCCAGAGTGCGACAGTCCCCAGCGCCATGCTGTCACAGTCCAGCATTGTAGGCTGGTGGTCTAGCCTGTGGAGGTGAGGGTCAACTGGCAGTTCTCGACAGCCCGGCGGTGTGTCAAGGCTGGTCAGCCGGGCCTCGCTGATCTTCAGTGGCTTGTGTACCATACGCATCATCGTGGCCAGTAGCGTCGGGCCATCCTTGCCGACAGCAGACTCATCAAAGATGAGCAGGGCAGCGTTGGTGATGTGCAGGTGCCATGTCAGGCTGACGTCGATGACATTGCTACACTGGGGCCAGCACTGCATGTCCGATGGCCCTCACTGTCTCTCCAGGGCAGCACATCCTTGGCACAGGACTGAGTGTTCCAGTCTCCCGTCCACTGGGACAGGCTCTAGGGAGGTCCACAGAGCTGGGTGGGGACCCACCAGCCAGCTTCAGAAGAGTTACTGTCTTCCTCTTGGTGGGGAGAGCTGGGCTGTCAGGTGCTGACGGGGGAGGAACGGCAGCCAGGGTGGTGGGAAGGGGCCTTTGGTTGGTGAAGAGGGTGGAGACGGAGGTGCGGTGTGGCTCACAAGAGCAGGGCTGGCAGAGGGGGACCCCTTTCCTGGCCTCCACAAACTCCATATTCGGCATGTCCTGGTCTTCCAACCCCAGTCGACTTGAAAACCTTCAGGTAATGTGTTGGTCTGATTGGTAGCCGCCGTGGTCCAGGATAGTCAGGCTCCTGACGGCATTCACACACACAGGAGCAGGCCTTTCCTTACCACCTGGTTCCTTCACGCCCAGTTAGCGAGGCCCTGTGTCAGGAAGCACAAACGGATCTCTGCTTGCTGTGGACTGTGCAGTCGCTTCAGCCAGGGAGGCCAGGCGAGTGGAGCTAGCCTTGCCCTGGTGAAGCCTGGTGGGTTGGTGGAGGAAGACAAGTCATGATCCACAGGACAGTTGAGTGGCGTGGTCAGAAGCACGAAGGGTGGACACAGTCCTGTGGGAAGGGGGTTTCAAACACTCGTGTTGTCTAGTGCCGCCGAGTCGGATCGGACCCCAGTGACCTGTGCACAGAGGCAAACACTGCCCGATCCCGCGCCAACCTCACAGTCCTTCCTGTGGCCGAGCCCATGTTGCAGCCACGGGGTCAGTCCCTCTCCTGGAGGGTCTCCTTTCACAGACCTACGAGGGGTACCCCCCAAAAACGGAATTGCGCTGGCAGAGCAGAGCTTTTGTAATATGCATTTTCCCCTCCAGACAAGGATGGTGTAACTCGCTCTGAGTTAGTGCACCCAGTGGGGTCCCCTAAGAAGGTTCTCTCTGGTCACAGTGAATTTTTTCATAAAAGCCGTTTCGCGCAAACCTCGTGTTTGTTTGTTTTTTGTGATGGCCGACTTAAGAGAACAGCGTGCAGCTGTGAAATTTTGTTTCCTGCCTGGGAAAAATGCCGCAGAAACTGTTGTGATGTTGAACACAGCTTACAAGGACAGTGCTGTGGGAAAAACTCAAGTGTATGAGTGGTTTTCTCGTTTCAAAAAAGGTGAAATGTCAGTTGATGCCAAACCTTGTTCTGGACATCCGTCATCTTCCTGAAAGGATGAAAATGTCAACTCGCAGTGCATTTGGAGTTCATTCCACCAGGTCAAGCCGTTCATCCAGCTTTCCATTGAGAGGCTCTGAAAAGATTGTGTTACAGTGTATGACAAAAGAGGTCTGATTTGTGGCAGATGGGGGACTGGTTTTGCCACCATGACAATGCACTTCCTCATGCAGCCATCTGTGTGCCAGTTTTTGGCAAAAAAGAGCATGCCTCTCGTCCCACATACTTTACTCACCTGACCTGTCTCTTGGAGACTTCCTTTTGTTTCTGTGAATGCAGAGGGAAAGGACATGAAAAGACAGTGATTACAACATAGAAAGGTGAAGCAAAAAAAGGAGGGATGTGATGTCAGCCATCCAAACATGAGTTTGAAAACTGTTTCCAAGAATGAAATCACAGATTTGAGAAATAATGTAAGTATAATGGAGAGTACTTTGATAAGTTTGCTTTGTAAAAAAGTTAACATACATAGCTTTGAAAAAAATTCTGGTTTATTTTGGGTGCCCCCTCACACCCTCAGGCTGCAGGTCTGAGCGGGAAGGTGTCTTAGGCTGGTCAGAGAGGGCCGGAGGAGGGAGGAGGGAGGGGCCCCTGCGGAGACCCTATGTGACAAGTCACAGAGTGAGGCTCTGCAAGCAGGTAAGTAGGTAGTGGGGCTTGGGCCCCATCCTGAAGGACGTTGAGCTGGGGGCGCAAGGGGGCAGTAAGAATTCAGTTTCTTCTGGCGGCACTGACAGTGTTATTGGGAAGGGCCATCCCTAATGGATTGCCACTGTGCTGATTCTGACCCTCGGTGATGCTACAGGAGAGCGTGGAACTGGCCCATAGGGTTTCCTGGACCATAGCTGTCTGGAGCAGACTCCCAGGTCTCCCACGGCGGATCTTGTTCACAGCCAGGCGTTTTAACCAGTGCTGACCTGGGCCCTGGGGGGGTGAGGAGGTTGAGCATGCATGTCAGGGGCTGACAGTGGACCAGGTTAGCAAAACGGTGGCGCTGTGGTGATCCCCAGCTTGCCTGCAGTCTCCTCTATGTGACAGGCCCATGCTCGGGTTTGGGGCAAAGACATGCAAGGAGTGCTGCCATTGACCTCGTACGAGATGTGTTGGCATCGGAAGGTAAAGTTGCTAGCCGTGCAGAATGCTGGAACATGAAACATTGGCAATATATTGATGTCCAAGTTGCCCTCTCAAATGCGGTTGTGCCCAATTACGCTCTTGCCCTGCTTTCTCCCTACCCTGGCCACCAACGGGC